TGTTGTAACGGTAGCCAAAGCCGAGATGTCACCGCCTAATTACGCCTCGTGTGAGTCTCCCAGGGAAGAACACGACTACAAGAGAGCAAAAGCAGAAGTCCTTGAGCGTAATAGGTACAACATATATAGGGTAACAAACGCGTTTAAAACAATTTCCATCGGGCCAATCAGCTTCTGGCCTGGCATGGGTGGCGACAGGATTGGCTTGTGACTCAGCGGCTGACTGTAGCTTAAATTTTGAATTATTTATCGATTTGACTGCCAGTCTGCGTTCGACGCGTGTGGGCCGATCGATAGCCTGCCGTGGGTGCGGCTCGCTGCCTGTATGTCAGCCGCCTGTTAAGCTACTCCTAACACTAACAACCCTCAAGGTTGACTCGCACAAAGACTGCACTGTGATAACTTTCCCTAGCCTATTGCCCACTAGCTCTGCCAGAGCCACTGAACATTTGCCTGATTCGCTTTTCAAGCGAGAAAATAGACGACCTCACGGTCCTCAATTACTAAACATCTGCTAGCCAGTGGCCACTCTTTCGACCTCAAAACATCCTTTTTCTTTTGTGAAGTCAAATTTGAAGGCAACGTTATTATTGATTATTCTCCGCGTTGAACAATGGACCTGCTATTACGTACTGATTTTTTGCAAATTCAAATCGTTGGGTCGTTATCTATGTCATGCAAAGACGGATAGCATTTGAAAATCCGCCGCGAAATTTGTTGGTACCAATAAATTTTGCTGCTCTAGCAAGTAGCAGACTGAAAAAAGCTCTTTTTGCAAAATAACGATTCTTCGTGCATCAAAATTCTGAGCTGGATTAGTAGTACAGAGAGAGATTGAGGCAAACTTTACTATGGGGAATTAATCTTTAAAAGGAAAGCCTGCAGAAACACAGCTAAAGTCAAATGATTTGGAACGGCTTGGAATTTAACGTTTAGGTTTTACTGAAAATTGAATAAGGTGGACGTCGCCAAAGGGTTTTAACGCGCTCCAATTGCGAGGTAACTGGTAGGGGTAGATACTTAAAATAGCGGAGCATTGAAATTCTCGGTACTCCCTGACAAAGTGGTCCGAGCTCACCCATAACAGAGGCCCTAATGGCTAGCTGATGGCAAGCGCCAAATATTTGGCTTCCTCGAGCTCGCCAAGAACACGTCTAGTGAATAAGGTGCTATTTAACGGAAATTTCCTTTACTTGGGCAGAAACGACAGTTGAAAGCCCAAAAAACATACGCGTGTGTAGGCAAATAAGACGACTTTGGGGTCCGGGTATACTCTTCAGCATTAGGTGCTTGGTAGAGTTCAATAATTCATTTGACCCGACTGTGAAAAACTCGGCGGCCTCGGTTGCATACGATCCCATACCAGCAAGAGGAAGACTTAAGTACAGTCAAAGCTCTAGCCAACTGAGCTATCGAGGTCCCCAGAGGAAGCCGTGAGTGTAAATCACATTTGGGCCCTGCCTACTGCAAGGGGTATGAAATCCACCAATTCTGACACAGTAAACTGACTGTGCAAACAGGATTTCCTAAGCAATCAATCTAGAATCCACCAGACGGCTACCAAGCGCACTAAATTATAAGGTGAGGGGGGTAGCAGATTTAAATACTTTATTTAAACTAGATGTGGAAAACTCGACGGTCTCTTCATTTTATGATAAGAGGCCACCAAAGACAGATGCCGACATAGTATCCACGTGAATTAGTTGTCGGTAGCTGCTTATTCGCGTAAGTTACTCGAAGTCTCTAAGACCTGCTGAAGGCAAATGAGACGTACATTTAAGCTGTTGTCCATCCAGTACATATTACTGAAAGTCTATTTCTGCACCAATAGAAGCTCTAGAACCTTTTCACCCCAGTCAGCCACATACTATAAAAACGTTTGTGGGACCTGAATATTAAAAGACATTGAAATGTTTGTAGCCAAAATAATGTGTCTTTACGATTTCGTTGGAAAGTCAACGACTTATAAAACACTCTAATCACCAAGGATTAGTCTTGATAAGAAAACTGCATCAGAAGACAAGACATTATGATATACGAGAAAAAGTGTCCTTTAAAGGCCTGGTTGCAAACTTACGGCCGGTAGAGCTGTCTGTTTCCAAACCACAGCCTGCTTTGGCCGAAGTTCCCCTGAAAATAAGGTATCCTTTCCATGACAGACGACCGTCCTCAGGGCTGGAGAACCGTGCAAAAGACAACTAAAAATTTGAAGAAAAAAACAGGTGCATAAGCTTCTCGAGAACAACGCGCTTCGGATAAAATGAACAACTGCAGAACCAGAATAGATTGAATCACAATAAGACCATACCGCAGTCGAACGCAGCACCCCTTTTTACCAGTACCCCTGACAGAGACATGTCTCGTGTCAATTCAAAGAAATCAAATGTCCGCCAGGGTGACTTTTGATGGCCCTTAGTGCAACTGTGAAATTAGCTCTGACAATAATTTCCGAACGCGACTTTAGGGGGGGGGACACTTGACAAAGCCCAGCTTAAACCAGTTATCGAAAACTACATTCCACAGTGCTTGTACTTAATACGACGACCGATCAGCTAGGCGGTGGCTTGTTGCCAGCGTTGGGAGAGAAAGTGAGGTCGATCCTCAGCGCATTTCTTTCCTCGCTATAACCAATCTGTTGCGCTTGAAGCTATCAGGGGTGCGCTAAGAGCCGC